TATATACAAAAATAAATGAATGCATAAATAAACAAATAAACTTAAAAATTAATTAAATAAATAATTATATAATATAAAAATAAATGAAATAATAAATCAAAGTTAAAATAAAAAGAAATGTTAAAAATAAATACAGAAAATAATCAATAAAGAAAAAAGTTAATACAAATTAGGATAAAATTGTATTACAAGTGAATTATATTTGTTTCATCAAATAATTTATTCCTTTATTTATTTTTCTATTACATCTGTTTATTTATTTATCTATATATGGTACTATGGAAAAGTCTTAGTCTCTTAAGACCCGGCAAAACATTTTAGGGAAAAAAAATAGCATTATTTCATGTCATTACATTGTTTAGAGCATAAAAAATAAATAAATAAATACAATAAAAATGATATTTCATTCATAAGTTATGCTACGTCCTAAGAGGACATCGGGACTCAATTTAAAAAATAAATAAATAAAAGATGAATGGACATGCATAGGCAAAAACAATTTTTTTTTTTTAAATCACCAATACATTTTTAGTTTTCAATACATTTTTTTACCAAACTTTGTATAAAGATAATTCTCAACTATGTTATAACAGAATGATTTGATATACCTTTTTTCATGCAAAATGTGTGTGAAATGGCCATAAACAGGTTTTCTCATTATATATAATGTATCTATAAACTAAATCTAATTTGCATATTAATGTGTTTTTGGGGCAACATGTAATGAAAAAAAAATAAGTGAAACAATGGGAGTAATAATTGACAAGATTTTCATAATAATATTGTGACGAGAGGGGCGGGGCCGAGAGCCGTGGGAACGGAGCAAGACCGGTGGCGTAAATGCTAATGCACGACACCTGCGCCACTCACCGGTCTCGAGTCCCACGGAGGAGCTCCGGAAGGATAAAAGAAGGAGTGACGACAGTGCTGGACGAGAGAGGACCAGGCCTGGACTTTTTTTTTTTTGTGTTTTGTGGGCGGCAGTCATCCGCGAGGGGCTGCCGCTTTACTTAAATTTTCTGTTTGTTTATTT